ACAGTTCCACGGAGAAGATAAGTCTATCTTACAGATTTTATACTTATCTGATAACAGTACTAATAGCTACATGCTATCTATATATTTTGCTTAAGTTTAATTTATTATCTTAAGCTCAGTACTATGGTTTTTATATCATACTATATATAAGCTTACAACTCCTAGGAGTTTTGCTATTATATATATGTTCAGCTTAAGTTTCATCAATCCTTAAGCTCAGTCATATGGTCATATGCATAAATGTATTAGCTAACAAACTCTAAGGAGTTGGTTACTATTATACAGCTTAAGTTATAATTATATCTTAAGCACAGTACTATACTATTATAGCTTAAATATATGCATATCTTAAGCTTAATACTTTGGTTCATTTATAAAAGTATCCACTATAAACTCACAGAAGTTTATACTATCACATTAATAGCTTCAGCTTACATTAATGTTGTATATACTTTTATCATATTCAGTAAATTGTAATAACCTTTATATGGCAGCTGATAAGTTAAGCAGCAGGAATTCATCAGTTCAGTGCCTTTATGAAGTTCCCATAGGGTTATTACAATCATCACAGTTCAAATCACTAATTATTAAAATCCAAAGTATATATATTCCCACCTCCTTTTCCGTCGGATTCTACAAGCAATAAGCATGAGTCAGGATAAGGAAAAATATGAAATTTTTAGAGTAAAATTAATATTTTATACTTATCCTGACTCATGAGGTAAGCCCTCCCGTCCTCCCCACTTAACACTTTGGATTTCTTCGGAAAAATAAAGTGTTGGGCTCGAAACAAAAGGAGAGAGTGAGGCACATGGGTTGAGGTGGCGCTCTCGTTCCCGCTTGTGGAAGGGAGGTAACTCGTGGTGAGTACTAATTAGTGATTTTTTAATTGAAGGGAACTTCAATTGGGAGATACACGTGTTCCACTATGTTCGCAAGAAGAAGAAGACAAGCAATAAGCATGAGTCAGGATAAGTATAAAATATTAATTTTACTCTAAAAATTTCATTTTGACAACATCTCCAACTTTACCTGAGCAAAGACATTTCTTCCCAAACTCAGAATGGAACCCAGGAAATGGTCCCAAAAACGCAACCTAATTTTTGAGATGGTACGATGTTCTCCATGTTTTTCATGCAACTCATGCTGCACGTGCTGTTCACAAGGACCAGCCCTATAAAATGCACCCCCAAACCTGGTTGAAACATTCACATTACGTCAGCAGGATGCCACGACTCACGACATCTCAGAGGAACCAGGCGCTAGGAAGACTTGAAGCTGGCCACACTGCACAAGCCGTTGCCAGTCACTTCCAGGTCAATGTTCGGACCATCTGCAGGCTGCAGCAACGTTTCCGGGCCACCAACACCTCAAATGATTGCCCCTGTACTGGCAGACCAAGGATGACCACAAGATGACAAGACCACCATGTTGTGCGACGGCATGTACAGAATCCCTTCATGCAGGCATCCGAAACAGCACGCCAGACAGTGGGAACACATGGAAGACCAATCAGTACTCATACAGTACGCCAACGTCTTAACAGCGGGAACCTCCATTGCTGTAGACCTTACCGTGGACCTATCCTCACCCCTCGTCATCAGCGTGAATGTCTACAGTTTGCCCTACAACACCAAAACTGGTGATACAGGCAATGGAGAACTGTTCAGTTCACAGATGAAAGTCGTTAATGCGTATCAACTGCAGATGGCAGAACAAGAATATGGCGACGATGTGGCCAGCATTACTCAGACCAATGTGTTATGGAAATTATTATTATTATTATTTATTATATGATATATGATATTTATATAGCGCACATATCCAGGCAACTAGTGCTTGCTTAAGGCCGCTGGTATTTTCGTCCCTCGATCATTGGATGTCAGTCTCAACGGCACATCGTTTATCAATCGCAACTCCCTGGGGCGCATACAACTCTTGCAGCCACTAGGCGCACCAAGTTATTGTGGCCTTCTCATCCTAATGAGGGACCCATTCACAGCTGGGTGGACTGGGACACAAAGTCACAGTACTTTGTACAAGTTCACTGCACGTTGCCTTACCCGCAACTTGGTGTTTGCACGTATTCATGTGGCCACCATCTGGTCATATACCCACGGATTCGTTGGTTCTTTTAAGTGCACAGGGTTGTGTACTGTACACTAGGGGTTGTGACAACACTGAAAGAGTCTGCACACAAAGTTGACTCCGAGGTTTTTACACCCGGTCACAGGTGGGCTCGATCCCGACACCTCAAGCTCGCTGGATCACTAGTCCTGGCACCTTAGGCAGCTCGCCCACCGCGCGCCCCATGGAAAGAGACTCATGGGGAGGTGCAAGCATCATGGTATTGGGTGGAATAGGCCTGAGCCAGAGAGTGGGTCATGGTATGGGGTGGAATAGGCCTGAACCAGAGAGTGGGTCCTGTGGGGTTCCAGAACCTTGGTCCAGGGAGAGGAGGTGGCATCACAGCAGTGCGCTACATCGACCAAGCTCTCAGATGCCACATCATATCACATTTCGCACGTCACCGGAACAACATTTTCCAGCATGATAACGTTCGGGCCCATACTGCCAGAGCTACACGGGACTTCCTACAGCAGAAGGGTATCAACATTATGCAGTGGCCAGTCCTTAGTCCTGATTTAAACCCAATTGAACATCTTTGGGATGAAATTCAGAGGAGACTGAATAATGTCATACCAAGGCCGAACACAACCGATTTATTGCGCCAGGCCTTTCTCAGAGTGTGGTTCCAGGTGCCAATGGCCTTCATCAATCGATTGGTGCACTCCATGCATAAAAGCTGTGCTGCAGTTATTGCCTCTCGTGGTGGTCACACTAGATACTGAAGTCAAGAGTCTGAATGGACTGCAAACGTTCACGTAATTAATTTCTTGGAATTGTGCTGAGTTATTCATTGATGTGTCAGGATATTGTACACAAAAATATTTTTGATCCGCTTATTATGTCCATTTCTGTAATGATTTGATTACAGTGCCTATCTAAGTTTGTCGTACTGACAGGTTTTTTTGAGTATATATAATCAATAAATATAGACAAACATTGAGTCAAAAGTAGTAGTATTTTATCCCATTTGGTCCCAGATACTATTTCACAGGGAACAAAATAAGGAATTAAAGGGGATTATCACACCCCAGTGATTTCTTCTACTGAAACAATAGGAGTTGAGTAAGCGGGAAGACCCCACCTCTACTCACTGAGCAATTATGTCAGTGGAGTATGACTACTGAATTTCTAGTGGATTTCGATGCGTTCCACTTCTAGTTTGCCAGGCACATCCTTGACTAAGCTTATGAAAGGAGTGAGGGTAGTGGCAGTCACAATGTCACTACCATAAGATGCAGTCTTTATCTGTTTTTACATGACAGGGATATCTACGTAAATCGTTTGCCTATTACATATTCTTCAAACATTCTGAAATATCTGACTGACAATCAGTCATTAAATCAACTTTGAAAGTAAACTGGCTATTACTAAAAGTGCCACTACCATTATTTTGTCACTACCATAACAATTAATGCCAATGTCCATGCCATAACATTATCATTTTCCTTGTTTAATTAAAATTGATTTATTTGTTTCTGTCTAGAATTTGTAGTGCAAGTATGTTTGGTAGTAGAGCTTCAAGTAAGCATAATATAATTCATATTCTCATTTTTAATTTTTTGCTACATATCACTTTATATTTGCAAATCAGAAGTGAAAGGAATTTTTTTGCTTTTTTTGCCCCTTTTAAGTATTAAATATAAAATTTCAAAATTCATCAACCATGTTATATTGTAGTGAGTGAGTGACCTTTCGTTTTACACCGCTTTTAGCAATATTCCAGCAATATCACGGCGGAGGACACCAGAAATGGGCTTCACACATTGTACTCATGTGGGGAATCGAACGCGGGTCTTCAACGTGATGTGCAAACGCTTTAACCATTAGGCTATCCAACCGCCCCTGTTATTTTGTAAAACTATATATTCTAATATATATGTACATAAATGATTTCAGCTTTGGATTTTTTTCTTTTCAAAATGACGTTTCAAATTTTGTAATGGTAGTCACACAATTTCATGGAATTTCTATAAAAAAAACCGATAAAATATGAAAAATGAAATTTTGTTAAGCCTGCATAATTTATGTTTCATATATTCAGAATACTACAAATGTAATCAACAACATTTCGAGGTAAAACAAGCAAACAAAATTTACAATTTTTGCCTGCATGAAATATGCACAAATTTTGAGAATCCTATCTGGATGGATTCCTGCCCGACCAACCCTTCTGCATCCACAATTACAGGATTTATGGCAATATCATAAATAAAGGAATTTACATGAGTGCCCATGTCATACTATGTTTACGACCCAAGTGTCTAAATGTTGGTATTTCCCAAGCGAGAGCTAGGCATATAACCATATGAGTGTCGTAAACATGGTATTATGTGGGCACAAATATAACTTTCTACGTATTACCAAAGTCGTCAAATTGAGGAAAATAAACCCAAATATTCTAACACCAGCCGTCGCCGCATGTAAAACGCAACGTCATAGAAGAAAGGTGACGTCATAGCATTGTTCATGATGTCACCATGAAAAAGTGATATATCCCTAGGGCATCGTATGAAAAATATGAACCCTTATATTTTTGCCCTTGTAGGTAATAAACAGTGATAACTATTGTTCGATATCTCACAAAGGTCTATATGTTCATGTGAAAATATCCAGATAAATTGTCTCTGCTACATAGGGTTTCTGTCCAGCTGACTTGACACGCCATGTGATTTGTGTTCTGGTCCGTTAGCGGTGTCAAAGTTCTGCATTCCACTGTTCTATGATCTGTTTTCTGTTATCAATGTCCAGTGTTCTATGATCTAGTTTTGATGTTCTTTGATCTGTGTTCTGATTTTATTGACCATTGTTCTATTATTTGACTTGTGTTTAAGTCAGTATTAATGTTCTCAGTACTGTGATCTGTGTTCCAGGTACCAGGGAACCCAAGGCCTCATGGGAAGCAGACCCCCACAGCAAGCTCCTGTGGGCAAACACTTCCCCATCGGACATTGGGAGAGTGATGGTGTTGCTCACAATAGAGATCCCCGTGGAAACATGCCCAACGGAGGAAGTGTCTGGCATGCAAAGGGAAGACCACCACCACCCAGAGTGCACAATCCTGAGAGAGAGGAACCACCAAAACGCATTCCAAGTGTTACTGAGGACTTATTCTTACACCTAAAAAGTGTTTTTCCGGAAAAATCCCAAGAAGACCACATCAGGAAAGTTTTGGATAACCACCGCAGTGAGACCGATCTAAACAGACTAACCAACTATTGCATGGAAGTTATTTTTCAGTAACAAGAATTATGTTGGACTATTTATCGTTTGTTAAGGAAATGATGTGCTGTGCCCATATTTCAACTTGACTTGCCTCCTGTCAGTATGAAATGTAAAGGAAAATGTTGACAAAGGTGACGCTTCACAGGAACTAATTGATGACAGTACTTTCTTTATATTATTTACACTTACATGCTTCACAGTACTCAAGCCAGACCTAGTGCTGGTAGTGTGCAGGAGTGCACCGTCTGCCTTCTATACAAGCTTCACAGTACTCAAGCCAGACCTAGTGCTGGTAGTGTGCAGAAGTGCACCGTCTGCCTTCTATACAAGCTTCACAGTACTCAAGCCAGACCTAGTGCTGGTAGTGTGCAGAAGTGCACCGTCTGCCTTCTATACAAGCTTCACAGTACTCAAGCCAGACCTAGTGCTGGTAGTGTGCAGGAGTGCACCGTCTGCCTTCTATACAAGCTTCACAGTACTCAAGCCAGACCTAGTGCTGGTAGTGTGCAGAAGTGCACCGTCTGCCTTCTATACAAGCTTCACAGTACTCAAGCCAGACCTAGTGCTGGTAGTGTGCAGAAGTGCATCGTCTGCCTTCTATACCTTCTATACAAGCTACAGTACTCAAGCCAGACCTAGTGCTGGTAGTGTGCAGGAGTGCATCGTCTGCCTTCTATACAAGCTTCACAGTACTCAAGCCAGACCTAGTGCTGGTGAGTGTGCAAGTGCACCGTCTGCCTTCTATACAAGCTTCACAGTACTCAAGCCAGACCTAGTGCTGGTAGTGTGCAGAAGTGCACCGTCTGCCTTCTATACAAGCTTCACAGTACTCAAGCCAGACCTAGTGCTGGTAGTGTGCAGGAGTGCACCGTCTGCCTTCTATACAAGCTTCACAGTACTCAAGCCAGACCTAGTGCTGGTAGTGTGCAGAAGTGCACCGTCTGCCTTCTATACAAGCTTCACAGTACTCAAGCCAGACCTAGTGCTGGTAGTGTGCAGAAGTGCATCGTCTGCCTTCTATACAAGCTTCACAGTACTCAAGCCAGACCTAGTGCTGGTAGTGTGCAGAAGTGCATCATCTGCCTTCTATACAAGCTTCACAGTACTCAAGCCAGACCTAGTGCTGGTAGTGTGCAGAAGTGCACCGTCTGCCTTCTATACAAGCTTCACAGTACTCAAGCCAGACCTAGTGCTGGTAGTGTGCAGAAGTGCACCCGCCTGCCTTCTATACAAGCAAGCTGCATCGTCTGCCTTCTATACAAGCTTCACAGGAACAGGTTTGAGTTTAGTGAAAAATATACAGCGCTAATTTGATTTGGATTAAATTTTTGAGAGACATGTATTTTGTAGACTTCTATATTTCGTGACATTTAGAATTTAATCATTACGTAGCTTTATGAATAATTCAGAGCCATATACACAAAATGTTTCATGTGAAATTTGTCTATAAGAGCTGTATATACAAAACATGATCCATTCCATACCTTCTTTCTCTGTGTATGTCTAATCTAAATGGCAGCTAATGGAACTTTCTGTATTTGCTTTATCAGTGACAAGTGAATGTCTGTTGTAGGCACTGTCAACTTAGGTTGACTGAATGAACTAAACTGCAAATTCAAAATTCACAAACTAGAAAATGGTTTCAAGTAAATGGAAGCATTTACCTATTCAATTATGTGAGATTTCATTGGGCAAAATGTAAAATTAAAAAGGGTTCAAGTAGATTGTGTTCTATTATTGTGCTTGAATTGGGTCGCAACTGCCAGGTTGGTGTCAGACATCCTGTGTGGTTTCAAAGACAGCTGTGAAGACTGGTGATGGACACCTCTGGAACTTGAGTGAAATATACATTGGTTGCTTTTCCTGAAAATCAAAGGACTTCATCTGTTTATTTGGGGCATAATAAGCTATTTTGCCTTCTGTTTAAGAAACATTGTTCTTTTACTGATACTCCTGACCATTACTCCTCAAGAATAATTGTTTTAGGATATTCACATGGAATCTTGGAACAGTATTGTGTTGATGATTATTCGAATGATTTGTTGTTGTTCTTTCAAGATTCAGTCCACTTCCAACAGTTGAGAACATTTTCTGAAACCATGAGTCCAACCTCACTGAAACATGTGTATTATGTCAACAAGTTCTCAGTGTTCCAGGAATGGAATTGCCTGTGGCTAAGAACACAGGGCTTATGTAGACCTACTCCGATTGGAAGCAGTTAAAAGTACAAATTCACAAAATGGAAATTCTGTTTGCTTACATTTGGACAGGTGTTCACCAGATTTATAGATATGTAATTGTTGTGTCCTATGTTGTGGCACTCAGTGGGGCAGTAGGACAGGTGTTCACCAGATTGACAGACTGAGTGTGTCCTATGTTGTGGTGCGCGGTGCTACAGTAGGACAGGTGTTCACCAGATTGATAGAAATGTTGACTGGTATGTCAGTGGTGACATTTATATTCTTAGTGAAACTACCTGGAAGTTTTCTATGTTACAATTTCTTCATTATGGAATAAAATAATGTTACCCAATGATGTTTTAATTAATCTCAGATTTGGAACTTTAAGAACGTAAAAGAATTTAATGGGAAAGGACCACACAGCGAAGATCCACCAAAACATGCACATGCATTTTGGTTTCCTCGAGAAATGTCTGCGACATCCACCCTTGGCCCCCAAAACTGCTGCGTTTAGGTGTTTGGTTTCAGGAGAAATGCAATTTTACCGTTACCTGCAATTTGGGTCATAGACACACACCAGCATGTCTTGAGATAATTACAGTTTCATCTTCGACAAATGATAATTATGATGTACCATTTTGAAATAACATTTGAAAATTTCGAGTTTCTTTTGCGGTTAAGTATATTTCACTGTTACATTGCCTTGTATATTGTTGACATTTCAAAACCACCAATATGGTTTGCTTGGTCCAGATTGTATTCATGTGAAGCCTCTGGAATCTTGCACAACAGCTGGTTGTAATACATGCTTCGACAGTTGGAGCATTGTCAAATTACACTGGTCAGATGGGTACACAGCAAACGTGATCTAGACTACAAGTTGTCAGACATACACTTCTGTGTTAGCTACACTGGCTGAGTGGGTAAGGCCACTGACTTTGTGTGGCTCACTTTGAGGGTTGGAACTCTGGATTGGGCTAACCCCCAACCCCCCAAAAATAAAAAATATGTATACTAATTCAAATAAAAGCAATAGTAGAATCTGTACTTTGCTGAGAAAGTGTAATCCCAAATATATCATATATAACAGCCAGCCATTTGATGACTTAAGTGGTACAAAGAGGGACAGTCTTGCCTTGTACAACTTTACCCAGTGGGTGACCCTAGACACTACAGTGGGAAAATCACCCTGACTTCTGTCCAGCACAGGATCTAATTAGTCGATGACACCTGCACTATAGAGTCGGACCATTTTACTGACTGCAACCTTTTAGAGCAATCCTCCGATGACAGCCAGGCAGTCATACCTTGCGGTGAGTTACTTATAGCTCAGTCCTGAGGTTTAGTGGCATGGAGGCATGGACTCTTCCTGCTTCGTCATTTGAGACTCAAATGGTTCAACTAAGCTTAAAGGAGAATACGAGTGAATTGCAATAATTTGCTGGGTGAAAGATAAAGTCATCAGAAACATATTCCCAAATTTTCAATTAAAAATTATGTATAATTATGTTTTAATCGCGAAAACAGTTTCTGTAAATCTCAGATTTTTCCTTATCCTGACTCATGCTTAATTGCTTGTCTTCTTCTTCTTGCGAACATAGTGGAACACTTGTATCTCCCTATTGAAGCTCCCTTCAATGTAAAATCACTAATCACTACTCACCAAGAGTTGTCCCTCCTTCCGTTTTGGCGGGAACTGGATATTTATTCGTATATACCACTGTTTATTCACGGTGTATTCCGTGATTGTTCAGTAGTTTACGTTCATGAAAATCTGTTCCGTATGTAAGTTACGTTTCTCTGCTGCTGACCCGCACCTAATATGCCCTAGTTGCACAGTACCATGTTCTTTCAGCTCACGCTGCAATTGTTGCAAGCATTTATCAACTTGTGAATTTAATAGATATTTACTTTGCGTCCTGAGGCGTGCCGCAGATAGGTCGTGCAGGATTGATCCAGTCATGGATAATACAGCTGAGTCCTCACCAGTCAACTGCTGTCGGACGACCCCCTACCGCCTGGTGTTCCGCTGGAGTTTCCCTCGGAGGAGAGGCGTGGGACGAAGTCCGCCACCTCCAAGAAGAGACCTGCATCGCCAGACATCCAGTCGTCGCAGACCAAGACTCGGAGGTCGTCTACCACCCAGCGCAGACTTCGCACCCCCAGAGCAGCGTCCACCACCAAGGGGAAGTCAGCGCAGACTACTAGAACTTTCTCGGCCGAGATTGTTCCCGTCGCAGAACAGCGCCTGTATGATGATCAGCCGATCATCATCCCAGAGGTTCATCACAAGAAACGACCGGTCTCAGCTACGGTGACATCAGCGCAGATCCAATCTCAACCCGATGTATCAACGCTGACAACAGATGATCGTCCTGTGGGCCCCGTCGCCATCAACGCAGATAGGGCAGCGCTGGTACCACCGCAGACCTTCCCGGGCGACTTTATGCAGCAGTTCTCCCAGCAGATCATGGAGATAATGGAAGAGCGTTACGGCCTGGAAAAGAAACAGCCATCCCAGGGCCCGAGCCTTCGCGAAGGCTCCAACGTAGACATCATCTCTGAGGGGCCTGCCATCAACGTGACTTCTGCCAGCAGAACTACACTACTGGACCAGCCTGCGCGAAGGTCGACTCAGCCTGCCCCGACTCGGACGACCAGCGTTCGCGAAGGGCTACACGATCTCCACCTGCTTCGGACTCGGATGATCAACGTTCGCGAAAGCGTTCGCGAAGGAAGAACCTCTCATCAACCAGCCTTCGCGAAGGACCAGTCGCCACTCCCCAAGTGTGGACTCAGATGAACCTTCGCGAAGGCCTTCGTGAAGGAAGTCAGCTACAGTATCCAAGACATCTTCGTCCCTGTAGATCGTCGAGGGATTCCCCAGGACCTTCGCGAACCTACAGTCGCTCATCTCCGGCGAACCTACAGTCGCTCATCTCCGCGCAGGTCCCCACGCAGGTCACCTTACAGGCACAGTTCGTCGGGCCATTCACCACGTCGATCTCCTCGCCGATCTCCACGCAGATCCCCGTAGGTCTCCACGCAGGTCTCCACGCAGGTCACCACGACGTTCGCCCAACAAGTCTCCGCGCAGGTCTCCATGTAGATTGTCACCCAGGTTACCACAGTCACACAGGACTCCACCTCGTTCACCGTCGGAGGAGTATCAACGTCCCCTTCTCAGCACTCCTTTTACTGAGGATGATGGCGGCATCATATTTTCGGACTCTGAAATACGTTACTGGATGGCTAATGGATTGGACTTGGCTTCACCATCTAAAGACGATAATCCGGCTCACACCTATCTTATGACAGATGATGATGTCGACACACTCACTCTACCTCCGATCGATCCCATCGCAGCGGTTCCACAGAACCTGGACGCAGCTTTCAAGACAGCCACTAAAACCCAGGCGCCACACTTACCACAGTTCAACGCCAGGAAGTTCTCCTCCCATAACATGGATCCCTTCCTTAAAGCTCAGGACTTAGACAAGAACTTTAAAGTAATCAACGATGCCAAGGCCAAGTCTTACAAGATTGAGGACCGCAAGCTGGCTCAAGTAGAAACTATGACCAGAAGAATGTTCTGCGGCCTCAGCAGATCTCGCACAGTCAACGAAACGCTCATCGCCAAGTTTAGAGATTCCACTGCGGAAGAAGACAGAATGATTTATTCGACCCTCCTTATGCAGAAGAAGGACCAACAGTTCATGACAGACCACCTTTCGTCCATCTCCGCAGCACTAACTCTGGCTCGTCGTCAAGGTCTCCTCGCCTCCTGCAGTTGGAGTGAACAGTTTACGGCGTCACTTTACACAGCCCCGTGGTCAACTCCTTCCATCTTTGCTGGAGAAATCGACAGGGTTGCTAAGGAAGTCACCAAAGATTCAAGAGAAGTCCTTATGATCAAGTCCATAGACACTCTGGCCAGCGTCATCAGGCAGACAACCCAGTGTTACTCAGGAAGATCCAAGTTTCCTGGAATTCAGAGGGCACGGGACAGGAAAGTGGCTAGCTCCAGAGGCGGGAAGGACTCTTTTCGCCACCCATCCGGCAACTACAGGGGAGGATCCGGACGAGGCAGGGCACCCAGAGGCTCCCGGAATTATCGACGATGAAAGACGGGTTTGGAACAACTTGAGTCTTCCACCCCCCAGCCGTTCCTGTACAACCTTCACAAGTGGGTGGACGTCTACAACTCCACTGGGAAAACTGGGGAATACTACAAGATCCATATGTATCCAACATCCTAAGACACGGATATCGCATCCAACTACAGGCCACACCACCGCTTACAGTCAACCCTCACAAGTTCGACTTCAAGGCACATCAGATAGAGAAGTTACGAGAGGCTGTCTCATCTCTACTAACCAAGCGGGCCATAGAAATCGTGGATCAAGTCAACATCGAACCAGGTTTCTACTCCCCAGTTTTCCTGGTTCCAAAGAAAAAGTCCAAAGAAAAGTTCCAACTCATCTACAATATGAGCACGTTCAACAGGGATTATCTACGCAGACCTCCCAGGTTCCGCATGATACATCTACCTCAACTAATCCACCTCGTCCGTCCGATGGACTACATGGCAAGCATAAATCTACAGGATGCCTACCTGCATATCCCGATACATCCCGACTCGAGAAAGTACCTCAGATTTACACTGGACGGGCTACATTACCAATGGAAGGTCCTGCCATTTGGAATATCATCGGCCCCCTGGTTGTTTACAAGAGTAACGAAACCCATAGTCACATATCTACATCATCGAGGGCTACGCAGTGCATTCTACCTCGACGACGGGATTCACGTAGACCAAGACCCAGTCCGTCTCAAACTACAATTGAATTTTACCATCAATCTACTAACTCTATCTAACTCAATCTACTCAAGTCGGACCTAGAACCTACGCAGGACCTACAGTTTCTAGGCATCAGATTTCTCACGACGCACAACCGTATCATCGTGCCAGAGGACCGATGGCTCAAGATTCAACAGACCATCCCTCAAGCCTTACTCTCTCTGTTGCCACTATGACAGTGGCAGAGTCTGTTGGGTCTCCTCACGTCCGCACAAGACATAACAGCCAGAGGCAGACTACAGCTATGCCCGTTACAGGTCCTCATCAACGCTCATCTCGACGACCTACAACCCTTCGGTCTACCGAATTATCTCAGACCTCATCTACTACGGTGGACCCGGAGGTTGAATGTTTGCGAAGGCATCTATTTAGCAGAGCCGGAGTTCCAGACCCATCTATACGTAGACGCGTCACTCCAAGGTTGGGGAGCACATCTCGACAACCATGTTGCAGCCGGGATATGGAATCAGGAAGAGAAACGTCTGCACATC